AAGGGTCAAAAGTATGATTTAGATTGTCGTGCCAGAGAGAATGGGGAGAATAATAGAATAACAGAATAACGGGGTTGGAAGGGGTTTTGGAGGTCTTCTAGTCCAACCCCTTGCTCAAGCAGGAAACCTATGCTACTTCAGACAAGTGGTTGTTCAATCTCTTATTAGAAATCTCCAGTGTTGGAGCACTCACAGCTTCTGATTAATTGTTCTCAATGTCAGGAAATTTCTCCTTAGTTCTAGGTTGCTTCTCTCCTTGATTAATTTCCGTCCGTTGCTTCTTGTCCTGCCTTCAGGTGGTTTGGAGAATAGCTTGACTCCCTCTTCTTTGGGGCAGCCCCTCAGATATTAGAACACTGCTATTGTGTGTCACCCCAGTTCTTCTTTTCATTTAAACTGACCATACCCAATTCTCTATCAATGTAGATAGGTCTAATAGATTGTTACTCCTCTATTCAAGAACAAGGTCACAGTGAATAAAGGCTCGTCTTCAGCTGCGTGTTACCTTAAAATTTCTAATTACTGTGATCTATTAAGAGATTGTTCTTTGAAAGGTGCGGTAGCCTAAAGGTGAAGGTGTTTGCCTCTCACTTGGAAGGCTGAGAGTTCTACCCTAGGCAGCAAAAAATATTCCTCTATCAAGGACACAAAGAGAAAATATCTGCGGTGAGCTCTGCATAGGTGTCAGGAAGGGCATCCGGCCAGTAAATGCTCGGCTCCTCTCAAGTTGCCCTGACCCCATCCCGAAGCAAAAGATGACAGGGGTCATAAAAAGAAGGAAAAAAACAACAACCAGGACCTTTCTACAATTCAGTACCTACCAGAGAGTTTTAGATGACCATTTCCAAAACCCAAAATGCTCAGACAAAAATGTCCAAAGGTAAAAAGTGTGAAAATTGTATTCCAAAAGGACTGGAGGAAATTGGTTGATCTACCTTGCAACATTCAAATGTTGCAACAGCTAGCTTACTTTATCTTGGTCCATCATTTAGCAGGCTTGATTTCTCAGTCTTACGGAGAAATATGTCTTATACAGAGATGGTATTCAGCAGGTTCTGACCAGTTTTGGAGAACCGGTAGCGGAAATTTAGAGTCGATTGGAGAACCTGCCAATACCACCTCTGACTGGCCCTGCCCCCATCTCTTCTCTGCCTCCCATTGAGTCCCAGCTGATCGGCTGGGTCTTCTTTGGTTGCCCTGCACCGGAGAACGGAGCTGGAGAGCGGGTTAGCGGGGTGGGGAGGGAAGGGGGATTTTGCAGTAACCTTCTCCTACCACACCCACCAAGCCACCCTACACCTACCAAGTGATGCCCACAGAACCAGTAGTAAAAAAAAATTTGAATTCCACTAATGGTCCACCTACATTAGGTTTATGTCTCTCCTGGCCCAAGAATCAGATTCTGACACTGAGGAAGCTGCTCCAGCTGAATCTGTGGAGTCTCAGCCTCAGAAAAAAACCAAGCCAGGAACAAGCATCACCAGAACAGGGACATTGGTCCAAATGGTAGGCGTGGTCCCCAAGCCCTCTGATTTGGCAAGTAGAATGGAATGTAGAGCAAAGATACTCAATAGGGCTGCTTGCCAAGCCAGAGACAAACACCCTTCACTGAAAATAACTGGCCTGATTTAAGAGGCAGCTCTGACCCATATTTCTTGATTAAACAACCGTCTGATTTCTTATTCTGGCAGGACAGTCCTATGAATCTTGCTTGGAAACTCTGACCTTGGACTGCCTGACAAACTTGGGCTGGCTTTTGGAACTTTGGACTGGATTTTGACTCATCTTCGGTGCGTTCCTCTTGAAAGCAGAACCACCCAGGCAAGTTTTCTTTCCAAGAGATTTTGCCGGCTTTCCTTCCTCCCCTTATCTGCTGTTACCTCCCCAGCCTTGAGTAAATTGCTATTCTGAACTAGTTGCTGTGTGTGTGTGTGTGTGTGAATTCGAAGCCTGAAACAGGATAACATCAGTTCTATCTTTTCCCAAGACCATTTCCCGGCTGCGACATCTTCATCTTTGGGATAGCCATGTTAGAAGATTAGTTCTAGGGGGGCTTTAGAAGAAAGGTTTGATAGTGTCAGGGAAATCACTTTGAGAATATAAGAGCCTTACTGAATTAAAGAAAACAACTCTCAAACTTAATATGGACCTGTACAGAGGAGACGCTCATAACCAGGATATAAGGGTTGTTTTTTTTCAACGATTGGCTCTTGAAAACTCATGTTAGGCATGCTCGCATACCAGAATATGAAATCAAGCAGCTGTGTTGTGTTTATTTGAACCTAGATTGATTTCACTTGAGTAGCGACTTGATAATCTTCTTTTAAGGAGAGATTGCAATTACTTCTAGAAGCTATAATTGCTGCAGCATTTAATCTCCATGTTTGGAAATCTAAGCCTCTGTGACTTTGGAAATATATGTAGTGGAGATGAGGAAGTCCGTCCATGACCATGAAATGGTGGTTGATTAAAAGAAAGGAGATAAATCAGAAAGACCCAATGGCATTGTATGGAACGGAGTGTCCTGAAAAGGGGCACAATCCTGAACACTGCATACTGCAACAATTTAGCCAATCAAAATGACCAATGCTTTAGCTCAGCGGTCCCCAACCTTTCCAGCTTGGCAGTACAGCATGCTGGGGCGGGGGGAGGGGGAGAGAGAAAGAGGGCATAGTTTCTGTGTGAATGGTAGGCGCGCACATGAATCCACACAGTTCCATTTGTGCAAGTGGTGGGTGTGCCCACATCTGCCTTTTGCACAAACTCACACCAATGTAGCTTCACATGCGATCGGGGGCACCTAACTCACACCTGCTTGTGAGGCGAGAGCTCCACCGCTACACAGTTTCTTTCAGCAGGGAATAGTCTACTAGATCAGTTTTCCTGCAGGAAACCTATGAACATTCCTGCACTGCAGATGAGTCATGCCGGTTGCTGTCCATTTGCAGAAGGATGGGTTGGCTTGTTCTCTCCTGCACCTGCTCTTGCAACTTCTGAAGGTGGCCCATGTAATTGTAGCTCCCCTTAGGCGATGATGTTCCCACTCCAACGTCCGTTAGGAACATTTTAGATTCTCATTACGGTACTATTGTTAGTTATTCAAAGGCAGCCCTGGTACGCTGTTGCCTTCGTGCTAAGAAAAAAACAAAAGGGGTTGACGAACAGTAACGGTACGTGGTAGTACTATACAGCTCTCTGTGAAATTTAAAGCCAGATATGAACGTAGGAATGTGATTTGTGTACAATAAAATGGCGGTGAGTTTAGCAATCGGGGGTGCAGTAAAACCATGGGAACAAGCAAATATTAATTAAATGGCTATATTTATCCTTCCCAAGAGGACTGTTTGTTATTCCATGGGAATAGCTTGAAAGATAAATCAGCGTGACCAGGGATGGGTTTTTTTGCCAGGTAAACGACTTCCCTTTAAAAGCTAACGATCGAGGTTACAACTCTTCCCTTCTCGTAGTGTGCAACAAAAGGATCCTTGGGGGACTGAAAGGACACGGGGGATCCCTTTTGGGACACCCAAATCAGAAGGGAAGAGGACAGAGCCTTTTCAGACAAACCCATTTGATGAAAAAGCGTACGTGTTTTCACGAGTTGCAGGGGGATTCATCGGCTGCCGTGGAGTGGCTAGATTTGATGCAGGGTTTAAATTGGGATCACAGAGTGGGTGGGGGGAGGAAAGGAATCTACATAGCTGCCCAGTCTTCTTTCTGCCCCTCCCCCATCCAAGTTTAATTTCTACAACCCAGGCAGCCCAGAGTGGCATCTTTTGCAAAACGGGGCATGCCCTGCCTGGAAAGATTAAAGGTAAAAAGAGGGATAGTTCCATCCGTGAGGATGCTGAAAATGAAGGCATGAAAAAGAACAAAATAGGAAAACAAGAAAGCAAAAGAAAGAAAGAAAGAAAGAAAGAAAGAAAGAAAGAAAGAAAGAAAGAAAGGAAGGAAGGAAGGAAGGAAGGAAGGAAGGAAGGAAGGGAAAGAAAGAGAAAGAAAGAAGGAAGGAAGAAATAAAAAGAAAGAAAGAAGGAAGGAAGGAAGGAGGGAAGGAAGGAAGAAAGAAAGAAAGAAAGAAAGAAAGAAAGAAAGAAAGAAAGAAAGAAAGACAGAAAGAAAGAAAGTGCAGCAGTTTTTATTGCAAACTTTAACAAGGGACCAAGAGAGATAGAAATAATTCACTGTGCTTTCTCCACTGGAGTTTAGATCTTCTGCTTCTCTGTTCACCTCCTTCTTCTCGTAGAGAATACAGGTAGTCCTTGACTTACAACAGTTCATTTAGTGACTATTCCAAGTGACAACAGCATTGAGAAAAAGGGATTTATGATTGTTTTTCAAGTTTACCACCATTGCGGTGTCCCTACGGTCATATGATCAAAATTCGGACAATTCGCAACCAACTCGTAGATATGACAATTGAGGTGTCCGTGGGGTGTGTGTGTGTGTCATGGGATCTCTTTTTGTGACCTTCTGACAAGCAAAGCAAAGGGGAAAGCCAGATTCAAAGAACAACCAGGTTACTAACTTATCAACTGCAGCAATCCACTTAACAAACATGACAGGAAAGGTTGTAACATGGAGCAAAACCCCGCTTAACAAATTTCTCACTTAGCGAGATAAATATTAGGCTCAATGGCGGTTGTAAATTCGAAGGGTGTCTATACTGGAATATATTCAAGTTTAACAGATTGCAAATGTTCCAGGTTTTCATCCCACCTCCGGTCTGGAAATCAATGTACCCGAGAAACATTGTTTTTTCATTGCACATGAAATGGCGGTCGCTTTTATTTTCGAAACGCCCAACACAAGATGAAAGTGGTCTGTTGGAAGACGGGTCCTGGGGCTTCTTTCATGTTTTCCTCATTAAGTTCTCTGTTTTAATCACCGGCTTCACACTGACTTCGGAACTCACCAAGCAGAAGGGGGATCCGTGACGGAAACATCTATGGGCAAGTTTGATGAGTTGACCATTTACTCATCTTCCTCTCTGCGGTGCCTTATTTGTTCAAACTCCACCTAGAAAACACTGATGGTGATGATACGTCGGGCAAATGAAAACTGGGATGTTTGAATATCTCTTTCGGCTTGCTAAAGGTAACAACCTTCAAAATAATCAGGAACGAAAAAAATAACAAATGTCAGAAGCATTAGCAAATGTCAAGTAGGAAGCAAGCCTGCAGTGAATTTCCTGCATGCATTTCTTACCACCTAAAATAGAACAGAATAGAATAGAATTCTTTATTGGCTAAGTGTGGTTGGACACACAAGGAATTTGTCATGGTGCAAATGCTCTCAGGGTACATAAAAGATACATTCATCAAGAATCATAAAATACAACACTTAATGTTAGCCATAGGGTACAAATAAGCAATCAAATCATACTAGGAAACAGTCAATATAAATCGTAAGGATGCAAGCGACAAAGTTACAGTCATACAGTCACAAGTGGGAGGGGATGAGCGATAAGGAGGGATGACAAGATTAATAGTAATAGTAGTGCAGACTTAGTAAATAGTTGGACAGTGTTGAGGGAATCATTTGTTTAGCAGAGTGATGGCTTTCAGGAAAAAAAAAAACTATCCTTGTGTCTAGTTGTTCTGGTGTGCAGTGCCCTACAGTGTCATTTGAGGGAAGGAGTTGAAACAGTTTATGTCCGGGATGTGAGGGGTCTGTAAATATTTTCACAGCCCTCTTTTTGACTCGTGCAGTACACAGGTCCTCGATTGAAGGCAGGTTGGTAGCCATTGTTTTTTCTGCAGTCCTAATTATCCTCTGAAGTCTGTGTCTGTCCTGTTGGGTTGCAGAACTAAACCAGACAGTTATAGAGATGCAGATGACAGACTCAATAATTCCTTTGTAGAACTGGATCAGCACTTGTCTTGGGAAAGGAAAGTGAGGACGGGAGGGGGAAGAATCCAGAAGGGCTCAATAAGAGAAAACCGTTGACTTGTTCTGGGCCTTTTTTGTGGATTGGGTTTTTCCTGGGGGCTCCTTTATTGCAGGACACTTTCTAAAACAGGGCTCATGATTGGGAATATGTGCAATCTAAAGTAGATTCCCATCTGTCTGGGGTCCTTGGTGCCCTCTGAGCCGGGTTGCTTTCTTGCAGACATTTCATTACCCAACTTTGCAACTTTATCAGTGCCAGAAGGAGTTTGGTTGTGGAGAGGAGGAGGAGGAGGAAGAGGAGGAGGAAGGATGACTGTGCAGGTCCTTGGTGCTCTCTAAGCTTGGTTGTTTTCTTGCAGACGTTTCATTACCCAACTCTGTGACATTATCAGTGCCAGAAGGAGTTTGGTTGTGGAGAGGAGGAGGAGAGGAAGACTGTGATTCTTGGATCTTCTCTGAGGAGGAGGAGAGGAGAGGAGAGATTGTGGGGGTCCTTCATGCTCTCTGAGCTTGGTTGTTTTCTTCCAGACATTTCATTACCCAATTTTGCAACATTATCTGTGCTAGAAGGGAGTAGGGTTCAGGAGGAGGAGGAGGAGGAGGAGGAGGAGGAACATGGCGTCCTTCATGCTCTCTGACCTGGATTGTTTTCTTGCAGGCGTTTCATTACCCAACTAGGTAACCTCATTAGTGCTAGCTTTCATCTCTTTCATAGCCAGTTCATGCCAAGATTGTTTTAGTTCATTTTTTGTATTATTTGGTTGCTTACTGGGGTGTTGGATGTGAATAAAATGCATTTCACAGTTTCTCCTACATTGTTTACTTAAGAAAAAAGAAATCCTTTTCCTGTTTCTGGGAAATGAATTCATATAGTTAAAAAGCTCATATAACTATATGAATTCATATCGTTAAAAGGGAATTCATTTCTGAAAATAATCCCAATGTTCAATACGCCAATTACTTGATGAACTGAATATTTCTGGATATTTTTCCCCTCTGATTCTATACCTTTCCTTTATCCATCACCAAAATATGGTCGCACTCTTGAATGGTGTTTAGGCGATGCGCTATTGTCAAGACTGTGCAGTTAACAAATGCTTCTTGATTAGTCCTCTGAATCTGCATATCTGTCTCGGAATCAATAGAAGCGGTGGCTTCATCGAGAAGGATAATCTGTGGGGAGAATTCAAACAGGTTGGGCAACGGTCTTCTTTTTTCTACAAGTAAGGAAAAGTACACAAATCTTTGCACACAAAGTAGCCAAGGCAACTCAACAGCTGGAGGACTGATGTGCAAAGATGGTTTTTTACAATGATTATCTGTAGTCTGCCACCTCCAAGTGGTGTCCCCTGGATGCGCGAAGCCGTCAAACGCTGACCGTAACTGAGAGCAGACCCTCCGACGACAGGCCCACGCGACAGGCCGGCTGGAGTACTCAAATGCCGCATCAACATGATGGAAACGTCCACTACAAAACACACGTCCAATGCTACCGCGTTCGGGGGAACCGACGGGCGCAGGAGACCATTGGCCTGCGCCAAAAATCAACGAAATGGTCCACGCGGAAAGCACGGCCGTGTGAAAAAACGCAAGCGGGGAACAGAGGACTGCCAGACGCTCAAGGTGGCCACCTGGAACGTGGATTCGCTGACTGGACGCTCGACCGAGATCGTCAGGGCCATGCGGGACAGGAAGCTGGACATCTGCTGCCTCCAGGAAACTCGCTGGAAGGGCAACAAGGCTACGACTATAGACGGCTACAAGATCATATACACCAGCTGTAAGGAAAACCGCGGCGGTGTAGCTGTGGTTGTCAGTCCAAGCTGGCAAAGTTCCGTCGCAGAAGTTAAGCGCCTCACAGAACGACTGATGATAATCGTCGTAGCGACCGAGAGGCAGCGCCTACACATCTTGTCCGCCTACGCCCCTCAGACCGGATGTCACGAGGAGGAGAAGGATACCTTCTGGGAACTGCTCGACATCCAACTCAGGCAGATCCCACACGAAGACGACATCATCATCTCGGGCGACCTGAATGGTCATGTAGGGCGGGACAAAAACGGACACCAGTGCCACGGTGGGCACGGCACAGGCGATACGATTGAGAATGGCCAGAGGATCCTGGACTTTGCCGACTCCCATGATATGACCATCACGAATACCTGCTTCATTAGGCGAGAATCTCAACTCCTCACCTACCATAGCAGAAACGGGAGCCACCACACACAGATCGACTACATCATCGTACGACGAAGAGCCGCTAAAAACGTGCTCAACGCCAAGGCGTACCCGTACGAATCGAGCAGTCAGCACAGGCCGCTGATGGCGAAGATCAGGATCAGCAAGCCCAAGACCAGGATTGACAAAAGAAATGCAGACCAGCCACGAATCAAGTGGTGGAACCAGAAGAAGATGGCGGGACCCCTCATCAAACCGGAGCAGTTCCCGCAGATGGTCGACGGGCCACAGGAAGCGTGGTCCATGCTGAAGAGCACTGTTCACACTGCCGGCTGCCAACAGCTTGGTTGCACCAAGCCAGGACGGAGACGCATCGAACGAGATACATGGCTCTGGACACCGGAAGTACAAGATGCCGTACACCTGAAGAAACGGCTCTACAAGGCCTTTCTTCAGGACAAGACCAGCGAGAAGCTCTGCGAATACAAGGCGGCCAAAAAGGCAGCCAAGAAAGCAGTAGCGACAGCCAGAAGCTCCCACTACGATGACATCTACGAGAAGCTGAACACGCGAGAAGGCGAGAATGAGATCTACCGCCTAGCCAAAAGCAGACACAGGAAGACCCTGGACATTGACCAGTTTCATGGGATCAACGACGAAAGGGGAAATTTGATCGTCAACCCCAGAGACGCTGCGGAGAGGTGGCGGCAATACTTCGAGAAGATCTCCACCGAGGAGTTCCCACACCCACGAACCCCGCGAGGTGACCCAGTTGAAGGCCCAGTCTCAGGCATTTATGCCAGCGAGGTCGCCGACGCCATCAAGGCCATGAAAAACGGTAAGGCAACAGGACCAGACGACATCCCTGCCGACTTCTGGAAAAAGGCACTACCGGGCTCGGCATTGTGGCTGTGCGAGCTGTTCAACAACATCGTCTCCACGGGAAAAGTGCCACACGACTGGTACCGCAGCACCACTGTTCCGATCTGGAAGGGAAAGGGCAGCCCAGCAGACTGCTCCAACTACAGACCGGTCAGGTTACTGTCACACACTATGAAGATCTTTGAACGCGTCCTTGATAAGCGCATTCGGGACACCGTCGACATCAGCGTCAACCAGGCTGGATTCATCAAGAACTGCGGCACCACCGACGCCATCTTCGGTGTGCGGATGCTGATGGAGGCTCACAGAGAGAAGAAAATCCCGCTCCACACCGCCTTCCTAGACTTGGAAAAGGCCTTCGACCGAGTCCCGCACGATCTCATCTGGTACGCACTGCGAGACCACGGCGTGCCTGAGCTGCTCGTACAATGGGTCCAACTCCTATACAGATGTCACAAAAGCCGTGTAAAAGCGGCAGCTGGGATATCAGAGGAGTTTAATATTACCGTCGGCGTACACCAGGGCTCTGCTCTCTCACCACTGCTGTTCATTCTGGTGATGGACACAATTACACACGACCTGTACACGCCTGCCCCATGGACGCTGCTCTACGCCGATGATGTGTTCCTGGCCAACCTGTGCAAGGCTGAACTAGAGCACCGAGTCCAACAGTGGCACGACCGCCTCGAGCAGTTCGGGCTCCGGCTGAACCTAAAGAAGTCCGAATACCTGACCACTGACAATGAAATGACAGGCTCCATCCACGTGAACGGGCAGGAGCTACCGCGCGCCTCCACCTTCAAGTACCTGGGAACTACTCTTGGGGAAGAAGGCCTACTACAAACTGAGGTGGCAGCCAGGATCAATGCAGCGTGGGGCAAATGGAAGTCCGTCACGGGCGTCCTCTGTGACAAGAAGATGCCGATGCGCCTGAAGGCGAAAATCTATAACTCTGTGGTGCGCCCCGTGGCCATATACGGCGCAGAGTGCTGGCCGACGACCAAAGAAGTCGAAAGCAGACTCCAGATAATGGAGATGCGAATGCTCCGATGGTCGGTAGGCCTCACCCTACTCGATCGCGTCAGGAACGAAGAAGTGCGTAGACGGTTCAACGTCGTGCCCATCCCCACGGTCATGAGGCAGTCCCGGCTACGATGGTTCGGCCACGTGAGCCGCGCCAAGGAAGAATCCATCATCAAATCTGTAATGAAGGTGACTGTCGGAGGAGCGAGACCGCGTGGTAGACCTAAACAACGCTGGATGGACACGATCAAGGCCGATCTAGAGATCGCGAAGGCAGACCCGACACACGTGGCAGACAGAGAGGTGTGGAAGCAGTACTCAAGGACATTAGCGGACCTCGCCCGAGCGCGAGACAAACGCTGAAGAAAAAGAAGAAGAAGAAGAAGAAGAAGAAGAAGATTCTCAATCACCCAGGTCATGGTTGTCCCAAAAGTGCTTTTTTCAAAAGGCAACTGGAGTTTGTTTTTCCTTGAAGACATTTCACTTCTTATCCAAGGAGCTTCTTCGGTTCTGACTGAACGGTGGAGGGTGGAAGGATTTATATTCCTTGCAGACATCTGGTCATTTGTATTTCTGAGAGTCGTTGAGGCCACTTGGAGGTTTATCTGTGTCCTCAGGGACACCTGAATAGTGCTATAATGAATAGTTCCACACCCATTTGCACTATTCAGGTGACCCTGAGGGCACAGATAAACCTCCAAGTGGCCTCAATGTCTCTTAGAATAAGTGCAAATGACCAGATGTCTGCAAGGAATATAAATCCTTCCATCCTCCACTGTTCAGTCAGGACCGAAGAAGCTCCTTGGATAAGAAATGAAATGTCCTCAAGGAAAAACAAACTCCAGTTGCCTTTTGATAAAGCACCTCTGGGTTTTACAATAACCGCAGCGCATTGATGTGGTGCGGTTGGCTTGGTTTGGAATTAAGGTGCTGCATGAGCCTAGCCATGGTACACCAGGCCACGCCCACCAAGCCACGCCCACAGAACACCACGCCCACCAAGCCATGCCCACAGCTGATCAGCCGGGTCTTCTTTGGTTGCCCTGCACAGGAGAACGGAGCTGGAAAGCAGGTTAGTGGGGTGGGGAGGGAATGAGGATTTTGCAGTAACCTTCCCCTTCCTCACCCACCAAGCCACACGCACAGAAACGGTAGTTTTAAAAAAATTGAACCCCACCACTGGCTTTTTGGTGAGGTAGGCAGCAAAATGTCAGAACAGGTATTTTCGGAACAAAAAGCAGGACGCCAAGCAGAGATACCAGCAAGCCAGTTGTCCCTTAGCGCCTATTTAACCAAACAAATATTTGGTTTTCTTATTAACAAGATCAGGTAGAGTTGACATTTTGCATGCGGATGGGAGCTTTTAAACAATAGCACCATCTTCCTTTTTTTGTAAAGAATAGCAGCCCCAGAGAGCAGAACTGGCTTCTTGGATAAACCGGAATTGGCTGGAATAGCGACAGGAACGTCCTGCGGGCCCAGATTAAAATAAAATAAAACAAAATAACGTTATTATGACAGTGTTGGAACGGCAGTATTGTTTAAACGGTCTTGTCATTTGAGCAGGGTGAAACAAATCACCAAAACGAGTGTTTCAAAACATTCAGTCTCTTAAATAGGCAAACAATTGCTTAAATAAAGCACAGGGTAAGATCCCTTAGAAGAAAAACTTGGGAGGGCCAATAAAGTTACTGAAGAGAGCTTTTATAAAGCCAGGTGCTGGGAAGCATAACTGACCATAACAGAATAACAGAGTTGGAAGGAAACTTGAAGGTCTTCTAGTCTAACCCCTTGTTCAAGGAAAACCTTATACAATTTCAGACAAATGGCTGTCCAGTTTCTTCTTAAAAGCCTATAGTGTTGGAGAACCCACAACTTTTGGGGACAAGTCGTTCCACTGGTTAATTGTTCTCAATCAAGAAATTTCTCTTAAGTTCTAGATTGTTTTCCTCCATGATTAAGTTTCCCCTCATTGCTGTTTGTCCTGCCTTCAGGGCAGGAGAAAATAACAAGAAGAATCACCTTTGTGCTGGGACAATCCCAAAAGGGCTGTCTAAATGTTCCAACGTCCTCCAAAAAGTCATCACACTTCAAAAGTTGATTTGATTTGAAAAGAAAGCCTTTTTTTCCCCCTCAGGAACAAAGGGCTTCTGGATCATCCAATTTGGATGTAATGAATCTGATCTGAATCAACCATCAAACTGGATCATCTAAGTTGAGTTGGAGATCTGGTTGAATCAAATCCCTAAACTGAACCATCGTCGATCCCCAGAATCATTCCTACTTCTACTTTGAGCAGGGGTCTTCAAACTTGACAGCTTTAAGACTTGTGGACTTCAACTCCCAGAATTCCTCCTCTAGTCATGTTAGTTCAGGAATTCTGGGACTTGAAGTCCACAAGTCTTAAACTGGCCAAGTTTGAAGACCCTTGGCTTAGAGCGGAGGTCTCCAAACTTGGCAACTTTAAGACTTGTGGGCTTCCAACTCCCAGAATTCCTCCTCCAGTCATATTAGCTCAGGAATTCTGGGAGTTGGAAGCCCACAAGTCTTAAAGTTGCCAAGTTTGGGGACCCCTGGCTTAGAGCCTTGTTTTGTGCAGGGATGAAAAAATGGTCCTCCGGAAAGTTCGGGCCCATTTCCAGCTTCCAGAGAACCTCCGGAGCCCAGGGAGGCTGTTTTTGCCCACCCAGAGGCTTGAAAAAAGCCTCTGGAGCCCGGGGAGGACAAAAACGCCCCCCTTGCCATGGTGCAGGAGGCCGACTAGGCCACACCCACCCATGGCCACGCCCACCCAGCAACCAGGAAGAGAACCCATTGCTAAAATTTTTGAACCCCACCCCTGGATTGATTGGTTAGTTGGTTGGTTGGTTGATAGCTGGAAATGCAGGCTGAGCAATCTTTTAACTTCAAGGGGCTCTTTAAGTATTCAAGACCAGCCTGAATCATGTCAGAATCATCCGCCGGACTCACTTTGGAGTTTCGCAGGAGGGCTCTCGCCATGCAGAGCAACTGTCGTTCCCCCACTGAAAAATTTTCCCCGTTTTCGACCACTTCTGCCTCCAGTTTTCCTGGTAGTTTGGAAATCTAAAGCAAGGAAGGGAGGAAGGGAAAATATCACACAGCTGAAATGTTCTCTTTGATGCTCACAACAGCTGAAGGCGGGCTATGGGTTTTAACAAGGATACCGTTGCTTCTCCGTTGGGTCAAAGTGATGTGGATGTAAATGGAGCGTGCGATAAGTGACACAGATGCTAGGTGACAGGCAAAGGAGAAGGCTGGCAAACAGGAGAAAGGAAAGCAGCGAGGGAGGGAGGGAGAGGGAAGGAGGGAGGGAGGGAGAAAAAGGAAGGAAGGAAGAAAGAGAGAGAAAGAAAGAAAGAAAGAAAGAAAGAAAGAAAGAAAGAAAGAAAGAAAGAAAGAAAGAAAGAAAGAAAGAAAAAGAAAGAAAAAGAAATGGCCCATGTAACATTTTGCAGTGCAAGCAACATCTAGGGATTAGGAACATCTTCTCTTTCCAACAAGTAAACTCCACGGGATGCAGACATATTATAGAACAAGTATATAAACTTGGTTAGTATCTCAAGGAAGTGAATAGTTCTCATAAAATTTGCCTTGGGGTGTTAAACGATCCAATGATGGCTAAGTTGTTTGAATCTCTCTCTCTCTCTCTCTCTCTCTCTCTCTCTCTCTCTCTCTCTC